AAATTATCTACTTAATTATTTATATGTGTGGGGATTTTCATTGGATGGGATACAATTTCTTTAGGGCCTCTCTGGTATTTTTAGTATTGTGACCACAAGCTGATATTAAGTGTTTGCTTTCAGATAAGTTATAGTAGCCCTAAGTGAATGGAACATGCCTGAACTGTTGTGTACATGTTTCGCATTCTATCCCAGACAACTAAGATTTGGAAATACTTTATCAGAAGCTATAACATGAATAGGTTCCTAAAACTTCGATGTGGATGTACAAAATACTATTATACATTATTGTATGGCTTCCTGTATTTCTGGCATATTGTACACAAGCCCTTGGTTTTTCTTCTCAAAAAAGTCTAAGTTAACTCGTTAGTATTAAGGAAGGCAATTTTCAATGCTATATAATGTAGGAGAGAGAGAAACATAAAAAGTCACCAAAATAAGTCAACGATTTGTGCCTCAACTTTTAAACTAATGTATAAAGTAGCAAATGTGTGCATTAGTTCATTTTATTAGTGATGTGTATTGACCATTATGTGGCTTCTTATGCGGTAGTATTAATATGGTTAAGCCTGAATTTCAGAAATTATATTCCATCAATGCCTTTTTAAATGTAAGTTTAAATTTGTCATGTAAATGAAGAATATTGTATGTTGAGTCCAAAAGCCGGGGTTCATTAGAACTTTCTGAACCGTAGTTTTCTCTCTTGGGTTTTTAATTACTTCATAGTAATGAAAATTAAATAAATGATTTGAAATATTTATAATTCTATAAACATAAATACTAGCCTTCTTTTAGTTAAAATTGCTTAATTTACACGTTCACTTTAGCTTAAATGCTTGCTCTATATTTATCACATACAAGTTTGGAGCTATTCAACAGACACGTAAGATTCTTTTTAACTATCACTTTGTATATAAATGAAATAAGTGTCATATGTGCTATTTTCAAAAGTTTGAACTGACAACATGATATAGCAATTGGACCAGTAATTAAAAGCAAATTGCTTTCTTCACTGCTTGATGGTGAACTTGATAGAAATGCTGTCTTTTCCGATGCTTTCTTCACCTTGAAAATTACTTATATTTGTTTACATGTAAATTATTTATCTTAACTTTTAAATATATGTTTTATATGTGAAGATTCAGGCTAATCATGCTAAGCTTTCAAATTTCTCATAAATGAGATATTGCAAATAATAAAAGAGAAAAAAGCCTTACACTTTGCGTTTATTTTGCATAGTCGTAATTATGAGGACACATGTCATGAATGAAGAGTCCACTTCCATTTTATAGTTTGGGTTTTGAATTTTACCCAGTCAAGTAAAAAATAATAGAAAATGGGAAACTACTGTACTTGTATTCTTCATGAATAACAGGCATTTGGTATGGTAGCTTTGTTCAAAATTATTAACAGAATCAAATTGTGAAATAATATCATATAATGGGTCAAAATTATTTTTATAGTTCCCAGTATAAGGACCAAGCGTGCAGGTTCTTATTAATATACTGTTCTCCTAGTCCCACAATGAAAGAGAATGAAAGGGGCCTGGCCGGCCCTGGCTCAGCGGTTGAGCGTCGACCTCGGATCCAGGTGATTGTGGTTCGATTCCCGGTCAGGGCCCATGCCCGGGTTGTGGGCTCCATCCCCAGTCGGGGGCCTGCAGGAGGCAGCTGATCAGTGACTGTCATCATTGATGTTTCTATGTCTCTCCCTCTCCCTTCCTCTCTCTGAAATCAATAAAGACATATTTTTAAAAAAAAACAAAAAACAGAGAAAGAATGAAAGGGCAATTGCGAATGGCATTTCCATCCGCTTTGGATCTGCCAGCCTCCTCCGTCCTTGGGGCTTTGCGCTCGGCTTTCAGGCGTCTGTGCCGCCTTGCCTGGAGGAGAATAGTAGGAGCTGGGGGTCTCTTGCTCTGATAGTGCCCGGTGGTCGTTTTGCAGTTTGCTCGTGTAGTGGTTCCCAGCACTGGAGCGCAGCCGGTGCCCTCTCACCCCATCAGGACCGAACCCATCTGCGTCCTTTCCGGCGCCACCATTCGCCCTCCGCGCTCACTGTTTCCTCGCTGCTCCTGAATCTCCGCTGCAACTCTGCAGATATGTTCCCTCCTCCCTTTGTCTTCTGCACAGCCGAGTGAAACAGCCACCTGTCGTTTCTCTGAGCATCCCCTCAAAACTTTTGCAAGAGTGGCGATGCTGTCAAACGAAGCTCTCAGGCTGTGGTGACAAGCTAGTGGTTCCACACAGAAGGTAGCAGGCAGGTGCCACGTTTGATGGGGGGTGGGTGCCTAGAATATTTACAGCTCCATGGTAAAGAGCCAGTGAAGCTCCTGTTTGACAGAATATCTTGGCTGAATTACAGGGAGAAAATTTGGATTCTAATCCTTATTGGCTCATGAATCTCAGTAGCATTTAGTTCATTATGCATGTGCACGGCTTCGTTTATTATTATTAGCATGTATGGTATGTTCCGATAAAAGTTTAAAGATTGAGATAATATTACATAATTTTTAATGTTACCTGCATATATTGAGGAAGTTTGTTAAAGGATTTTGAAGCCAATAAATACATATTTTAATAATCTCCCAGTACATTATATAAGGCAGTGTCTCTCAAGCGTTAGTGTGCATCGGAATCACCTGGGAATGCTTGTTAAAACAGATTGCTGGAACCCACCTCCAAAGTTTCTAGGATAGAGAATTTGCCTTTCTAACAAGTTCCCAGGTGGTGCTGGTGGTACAAGTCCAAGGACCACATTTTGAGACAGTCATTCATACTGGAGTAGAGTAAAAAAGGGAAACAACACCCCTGCACTTCGGCCAGCCATAGCATCTTACGTAAAGATTATGGCTGACCAGCTCAACTAAATGTTCAAATTGAAACGTGTAGGAATGATTTTGCCCCTGTACTTTTTAAAAAGCTAAAGTAAGCTTTTCAAAAGTAGATATTAAAACACTCATGGAATTATCTTACTTCACTTCTTTCCAAAATTCTATGAACCCATATCAATTTGGTATAATAGTCATTAATTTATTATGCATCTAATATGATCCCAGATTGCTATTTGAATTATCTCATAGATTTTCAAATAACTGTTCTTTTCTCTGAAACAAAAAACAGAATTAAAAGAAATGTGTTAGTCATTTTCCCTGGCCTGTTCATGGATTTCAACTAACCGTAAAATCTGATCACAATAAACCACTTTTAAAAATACAAATTTGAAATAGATGTTATATTACACCATTTTACCATCTTTATAAAATGCCGTATTTTTTGGTAAATATATACATAAAATTTTGTACACATTAACATGTTTATAATATGTTTTCATGTCACCAAATCACACTATTTGATTCTGAACTGTTCCACTTTTAACAACTTATCCTGATTCTACTCTCCTGTAGATGTTTTATGTACTTAACTCATGAAGATTAAACAGTAGCTAAGAGGAAACTATATATATGTGTGTGTGTGTGTGTGTGTGTGTATATATAAATATATATATATATTAAAATATATCTTTATGATTTCAGAGAGAGGAAGGGAGAGGGGGAGAGAGAGATGGGAACATCAATAATGAGAGAATCATTGATCGGTTGCCTCCTGCACGCCCCCTACTGGGAATCTAGCCCTCAACCTGGGCATGTGCCCTGACCGGGAATCGAAACAGGATCTCCTGGATCATAGGTCCATGCTCAACCACTGAGCCACACTGGTCTGGCTATGTATATTTTTTTAAATCCTCACTTAGGATTTGTTTTTTTGTTGATTTTTAGAGAGAGAGGAAGAAGAAGAGGGGGGAGAGAGAGAGAGGAGAAACATTGATTGGTAGCCTCCCATATGGGCACCAACTGGGGATTGACCCTACGACCTAGGTATGTGCTTGACTGGAAATCAAACCCGAAACCTTTTTGGTGTATGGCATGGTGCTCCAACCAACAGAGCCACCTGACTAGGGTATAAACAATATTTTTATTCTATAGTAATACCTATGTAAAATTGGAAATAACGTAAACAATAAAATACAACAAATGATACAATACTCCAATTTTATAGCAGAAAAGGAATAACTTTTTGTTTGTAATGAAAGAAATGTAATGTTAATGTCTGATTCTTATATATTGTGATAAAAATTTGAGTGATAATTGTACCCATAAGGGCTTATACAGATAGGTATAAAATAAAATGTGAACTATGTAAATTTGACCTGTTCAAGCATAGAACAATTGAAAATCACATACCTGTTGAAATGATCACACACAAATCTTTATGACACTATGTAGTACACTGTGAGGAAAATCTGTAAAACATATTAGGATTTTAAAAATGTAATATTAAGTGTTTAGAACAGTGTTGCACATAAATAAATAGTACATATTAGTATAATGTTAATTATGTATATTTTCAATTTTTTATTAAACCTAAAAGTGCTTCTGTGAAACTTAAGAAAAGGGGTTATTTTCTAAAAATTAGAAAGTTTTCTTCTTTTTTGTATTTAATTTGGAGAGCAGTTCTGATCGGAGGTACACTCCATTTAACTTCTCAAAATGGATGTTCCATGTACTCTACCTCACTACCAGGGTACAAAGATGCTTAAGACTCAATCCCCAATCTTTGGAGGCTGGAAAAAACTATCTGCATCATAATTTTATATGAACTATGCATTGTCTCTCAATAAATATGAACAGTACAAATAATAGGTCTTTCAGAATATTTCTTACAGGTGACATTAGTTATGTGCTTTCTGGGTAGTGGATAGTGGATAGTGGATAGTGGAATGCACATGTATTCTATCTTATACAAAAGGTATTTCATGGTGTGTGTTCACAGTGATGTTTGTGACAGCTGACCAAGTACTTGTAATGTTCCGAGTGAATGTTAAGATCACTGATTGGTAGAGTAACTTGATGGGAAATGACAGGCACTATACCTGTGTTTTTCTGGGCATTTTTAATCAGCTTTTCCTTATCACAGCTCATGTTCTAATGATTATTGCAGGATGAAGTGGCACAGCCACTGAACCTATCAGCTAAACCCAAGACCTCTGATGGCAAATCACCCACATCACCCACCTCTCCCCATATGCCAGCTCTGAGAATAAACAGTGGGGCGGGCCCCCTCAAAGCCTCTGTCCCAGCAGCATTAGCTAGTCCTTCAGCCAGAGTTAGCACAATAGGTAAGTTCTGTTTCTTTTGTTCTTGCTGATTTTCTGTTTATGGCATCTTTTAATGGCAATTTGTGCACACCCTGTGCATGGCTTTAGTTCCATTCAAGAGTTCCAATTTGATGAACCTCACAGGTCTGTTTTAACTGTGTAAATGAAATTTATAACTGACCTCCAAGTTGTAATGTCCTCCTGAAAATCAAATTGAACTGCTTATGTTTATTGCTGTAACTGATGTTCTTAAGCTTATATAAAAGAGGCCTAATGACTAATCAGAGAGAGCCAGTGGTTCTAGAATGTTGTTGTTAGTGACTTGCCTTTTCCATCACTGAAATTTTTTTTCTGTTTTTGTGTGTGTGTGTGAGGTGTACAAAGTATACATAATAATGAAATACCTTCTGTCTGGATGAACAGTCAGTCGACCATCAGGATGTGAAGTTTGTTTCGTTCCATACCACTTGAAATTTACCTGAACATAGTAAAAGTATTATAAAAAGTGAATAGCTTAATTTTTCCAAAATTGTCATTTCAGTAGAGTAGCCAAACACTAGAAAATGCTTCTATAAGCTAACTTTTAATAAATTTCAATAACTGGCACTTTAGTAACACATAAATTAGACTGTAAATACTTACTTAACCCCAAATTTATTGATATGGCTATTGTTTGGATACAGTTAGGAGGAGGCTAACACAGGCCAGCCCTCAAGGAGCTCAGGGTTTAGTTGGGGGAAAAGTCATCTGATAGCGCAAGTCAGCCATAGTAATATTCCAGAGCACAGATGCAGTCCTTTGGTCATTAAGAGGAGAGTGTTGAATTCTGCTTGGGAAGGATCAAGGTAGGCTAAGCTGGGGATAGTCTAATTCAAATGGAACCTCGAAGAAGAGATATATTCATTCCTAGACCGTTTAGGCTGTAAGAAAAAACCTGAGTAAAATTGTGTATTTCTGAGAAACATACTGATTTGGCTAGGTGTAGAATGAGGGTGTGGTGGGAAATTATCAGAGCTAAAACTGAGAGGAGCAGGTGGAATCTGAGTGAATGCTGTCCTAAGAAATTTTGACTTTTCCTCCAGAGAGCGATCTGATCAGAACTTTAAGAAGAGTATTGGCAGGAGAAAGAGATTGGAAATGGGGAAGTCACTGTTTTCTTGTAGGAGAAGAGTAAGTTACAGGAAATAGACATTAGCAATGATAAGGAAAGGAGACTATAGGTGGCAGATATATGATTAAAGAAGGATTGGTATCACTCACCCACAGTAGAATGTTCCTGGTGAGGTTCAAGTTGGAGACAGAGTCTAGGGTTTTGAATTTATAAGCTAAGCAGGATAGTGCCTCAGCTGTGAAAGAGAAGGCTGGGTTGGAAGTAGAGTTGGGGGAAGACATAAGTGTAAAAATTTAGTAAATGTTGAATTTGAAACACAAGGATCCATTTATGTAGAGATGTTCATGAGGAAATTGTAAATGTAGGTCTGATATTCAAAAGCGTTGCTAGAATTTTTGACATGGGAATTATTCCTTATTGAGCTCATTGAAGTCATCAGATCAAATAATTTCACCACCACCACCACCACCCCAAATAAAAGAGCGTGTATGTAAGAAGAGAAGTGGGGTAAATAATGATAGGTATTAGTTATCTATTGCTGCCTAACAAATCAACTCAAAACTCGGCAGCACAAAACAACCAACATTCATTAATTATCTCCCAGTTTCTGAAGGTCAAGAATCTGGGAGCAGCGTAGCTGGGTGGTTCTGGTTTAGAGTTTCTCTTGTGCTTGCAACCAGGGTGTTAGCCAAGGCTGCAGACTTTACCAGGAATGGATGATTATTTTCCAAGGAAACTCACATGACTCTTAGCTGGAGACCTCAGGTCTTTCCGCAGGGGTCTTCCCATAGAGCCGCTCACAGCATGGCAGCTAACTTTCCCTGGAGTGAGTGATCCAAGAGACAGAGCAAAGAGAAAGCCACGGTGCCTTTATACCTGGTCCCCAGAGTCACACATAGTTCTACTTTATTCTTTTCATTATAAGAGAATCACAAAGTCGAGCCCAACTCAAAAGAAGGGGAATTAGGCTGCATGTCTGAAGGGAGGAATATTAAAGTATATTTGGACCCATATTCTAAAACCACCACACATTTTTAGGGGGAAAACTGATAAAAAGCAAGTGAGTGTCTTAGAATCAGAATGAAGATAAGGCAGGGTCGTGCTAGCCTAAGAAAAAACAGTCCAAGAAGGAGGGGTTGTGAATAGTGTCGCTTTCTGCAGAAAAGTTAGAGACCATGAAGGAGAAAAGCATTAGGGTTTCGCGGGAGCTCACAGGTAGGCAGGCTCAGAGCGGTCTCAGTGGGAGAGTTCAGCAGAGCTCCAGTTCCAAGGGCTTGGAGACTACGAGGAAGGAAGGTGCGGGTGATACGCAGACCAGTCTCTGCGAGCTTGGTGTTGAAAAGTGATGTGGAGAAGGCTGAGTAGCGACAGATTTTAGAATAGAAAAATCATATGTATTATTTCAAAGGGGATAGGAGTTGGAGAGACAGATATAAAAGAGGGTGTGAGTGAGGATGCAGGGAGAGGAGGAGATGGTGAGAAAGGACAAAAGTCCACTGAAGGAAATGAAGAAAAATGGGTAAAGTTATGGAGAAACTGTGGGATGGAGAGAAAGAAAGCTGAAGGGGTGTATTTCAGTTGCTTCCATCTTTGCAAAGTAGAATTCAGGTTATTTGCCAAGAGGGAGTCAGTGCGGGGCAGTGCAGCAGCAGCAAGGAGAGGAACAATGAAACCCGAGTTCTGGGACGTCTGGGGTGCACGTGCGCCTTTTATTATTGTGCACCATTCTGTTATGGTCAGACTCGCAGGTACTCTGCTCAGCGTCCTAAATGGACACCAAGATAAGACTTGCTTTCATGTCCTAAGTAGATAAAAGAAAAAATATTGTATTTGGCAAGAATGATCTATTTCCATAACAGACGTGAAGGCTCATAAATATCACAGTGTTGGTATACGAGCTACTTTTGTAATGTCATCAGAGCTAGAATATTAAACTAATGGAATAATTACTGCATTTGCATTTTTTCATACGAGGGTTTTATACTTTAGCATTCCAAGGATTAAGTATGAGAAAATATCTCAGAAAGGCAAGAGCGTATTTAACGACATTTATCATCTGACTTTGTCCACTACTAAAACTTCTCTTATTTTGTTCCCTGAAACATCCCCTCACCACGTACACATCCCTCATATTTTCCAAGGAGTTGAGGCCACTACAATTTACTTTTCTCTTTTCAACAAATGCAGATGTTGAAAGCTGAAACTGTAATAAGTAATAATGTAGTTGGATAAAAGCTGCGAGCATTAATGGTGTTGTAAAGGTCATCCCTGAAAGAAGAATTAATGCGTTATGCCATTAATGAAGCATGGAAAACTGTGAACCAAAAGATAACTTAAGATATTGTTAATGACAGGGGGCTCTTTGTTATATACCTGTCAGCTATAAATACAGAAAGTGAGTCTTTGAGGTGGGCGGCCAGTATTACAGTATATTATATAAGAGCGCTTCTGATCTGATGGGCAAATGATCGGCAGCTCCAGAGAAAGAAGGCTTAAAAGCCAGGAAAGATTCAGAAGAATGACGGGTAATTTTAGAATCTCTTGACCAGATGTTTCTACCCTTCATTGGCCTTTTTCACTTATATTGCACTTATATAGCACACTTTTAACTCTTTTCAAAGCATTTTCGATCTATTTTCTCACTACAGCTATTTTAGAATTAGAGATCCTTAACTAGATGGAGCAGATATCCATATCGTCTAGTCCAGACTTGTTATGTTCCGGGTAAGGAACAGAGGCCCAAAGTAGCCCAGTGCTTACCAGGGATTCTGAGTCAGTTTCTGTCACAGTGTGGACATTCTGTGGTTCTATGTTTATCACCCCTGTTTTAATTTTCAGGAAACAAATGTATGCAAAGACCCAGTAACTCACCCAGACTCTCAGCCAGTCTCGGGGTTGGGATGCTTTCTTTTTAGTTACTGCCCGTTGGTAGTCTCTCTGTATTACATGCTTTTCTCAGTCATCTATTTAACCTTTCACTCATTCATCCAATAGGGATTCCATAAAACAAAGGAGACATTTTCAGGTTCATTCATTTGCTACTTTATTTCTATAACTTACTCATGGAAAATATGATGACATGAAGGCGACTATAACCTCGAGTGCATGGACATTTTAAAGAGAGAAACTTCCATGAGGGGAGGTGACTGAACGAGGGTTTTGTAACAGTTTCATAGAAAGCCACTGGCTTATCAGGAGGTCAGGGGCGTCACTCAACGTCGGGCAGTTAACACTCACAGAGCACTTTACAAGCTGCTCTCACATTTATTATTTCATTAATGCTAGTGAGGTTTCACAGATGAAGAAATACCAGGGTGCCGAAAATTAGATGATGTGACCTCCAAAATAGGAAAAAAGTAAGATTTGTTGAAAATAATTTGAAACACCTGTGCCCTTGCTTTTACTTATAGCTGAAAAATCATATGTAAAACAAATACGTAGTAAATAAGAATTTGTATTGCCCCGATAGCATCTATTCTGCCCACGAATTGGAATAAATCTGACATACGGGGCCGGCTTCCATTGATAGGGTGATGGAGAAAGATCGATGAGCTCGGAATTGTAAACCCAGATACTTTCAACTTGGAAATCGGCATCTGTCCCTTGCACAGTCTGCCATGGGCCAAAGAGGGAAGAAATGCCCTCAAGTAGTGAGCTGAGGGACTGCTGTGAGAGACACATTGAGAAAATGAAAGGCAGGGATACAGTAAAAGCGGTTACAGGCTTTTGAGGGAGCAAATGACTGGGGAGCACTAATGCTGCCAAGCCAGGAGCGGGTCTGGGCTATGTCAGTGGAGTCCTTGCAGAAGAGGTGAGATCTGAATAAATTCCCAAAGACACCGGGAAGAGAGAGTGTTTCATAAGAGACGAGCTTGGGAGACAGAGGTGGGCCGGAGGAGGGAAGCCCGTC